CCAGATGATACCACTCTCATGGCAGAAAGTGAAGAGGAACTAAAGAGCCTCTTGATGCGGGTGAAGGAGGAGAGTGCAAAAGTTGGCTTGAAACTCAACATTAAGAAAACTAAGATCATGGCATCCGGTGCTCTCACTTCCTGGCAAATAGATGGGGAAGAAATGGAGGTAGTGACAGATTTTATTTTCCTGGGCTCCAAGATCACCACAGACAGGGACTGCAACCAAGAAATTAAGAGACGCTTGCTCCTGGGGAGGAAAGCTGTGGCAAATCTAGACAGCATACTAAAAAGCAGAGACATCACCCCGCCAACAAAAGTGCGTATAGTCAAGGCTATGGTTTTCCCAGTTGCAATGTGTGGCTGTGAAAGCTGGACCATAAGGAAGGCTGAGCGCAAAAGGATTGAGGCCTTTGAATTGTGGTGCTGGAGAAGACTCCTGCGAGTCCCTTGGATTGCAAGGTGATCAAACCGGTCTGTCCTAGAGGAGATCAACCCTGACTGCTCTTTAGAAGGTCAGATACTGAAGATGAAACTCAAATACTTTTGCTACCTAATGAGGAGGAAGGACTCCCTGGAGAAGAGTCTAATGCTGGGAACAATAGATGACAAAAGAAGAAGGGGACGGCAGAGAATGAGGTGGCTAGATAGAGTTACTGAAGCAGGTGGTGTGAGCTTAAGTGGAGTCCAGGGGATGATGGAGGACAGAAAGGCCTGGAGGAATGTTGTCCATGGGGTCGCGATGGGTTTTCTATTTATTTAGAAGGCTTCTATGCTGCCCCATTCGCCGAAGCTTTGGGCAGCTCACAATAATAAATGAACAAACACAGTATAAAACAATATGAGTCGACCTGGCCCGAAAAATAAATAAATAAATAAATAATATTAACAACTGAAACAACTTTTTAATAAAAAGGTCTTCGCCTGGCGCCGAAAAATAATGACGGTGCCAGGCGGACCTCTCTGGGGAGCTCATTCCATAGATTGGACATGACTTCGCAACTATCAACAACAAATCAAGTGCATTACAAGTCCATCCACACTCAGTGGTATTTTCAAGGCCTACCTGGACTATTTGAATAAATGTTTTGAAAACTATGAGGAGAAAGATATAAGAAAATATTTTATAGAAATTGCCCTTTGTACTGACAGCATCCAGAATTCCATACTGAAATCAAAACTAGCAGAAAGAAATAATGCATGTGGTGCTTCAAAATACCAAGAGATCTAAGACATCAAGAAAGAGATTCTAGACAGTAAGAAAGAGGCAAAAGCTATCTAGAAGAGGCAAGCTAGCATAATGGTGGGGGTAACAAAAACCAGGGAAGAAAGTTTTCAGTTACTAAGTACAAAGAAAATTAGGATGCAGTCCTCATGCTGACTGGGAAATGCTGGTAGTTGTCGTTACTGCTTAAACACGCATAGGATTGTGCCGAGTGTAACAGTAATTAAGTGAACTGAAAGCTGTCGACCAGAACACAGCTTGTATGTACACTGTTTAGTGCTTAACATGCAGGGCCAGATGGTGACCCAGCCTAACAACCACTATAATGAAATGCATAATACAAAATCCTTCAAAATTAAATCCAAGCTTTAATAATATCTATGAGGTTCGGTTGATCCGTGCCGAATTCCAAGGCAACAACGCCTTTGCCTATCCCAGTTACAATGCAGTGTTTCTTCTACCTCCCATATCCCCTTTCTATATTTAGCTCCCCCCACCAACACCGCCCGCGTTCCCCGCCCGCTAATAAAATAGGATAAAAAGGAGGGTCTGGCGAAGCAGCAAGGGCAGAGGGGGACCCCGCGGCGCAACGGGCGTGTTGAGGGCCGTACGTGGTCGTCTTCCTCAGCTTCCCAGATAACTTTGGCAGACCTCAATCACCTCTTCCTCTCCTTATCGTTGTTCCTTCCTGTACTGAGACACAGGGGTCCTCTCATCGTTGCTCTCCCCCTCCCGGCTACCTTCGACTTCACCCCCTTATCTCCAAAGAACTACTTTCCCCTCTCCCTTCCACTTGTAAGCTCCTGGACTCACCCGCAACCGGGGAAGGCTTGCGCAGCACCACCCATCTATTCTTCCACTGCGGGGGGAGAGAAAGAGAGAGAGAGAGTCGGTGGAGGGAAAGTGTCTGCCTTCCCTTTCCCTCACCCACCCCCAAACCAAACAACTTGCAGAAGAAAATGCCCACTCCTGCGCCACCCCGGAGAAAGTAAAAGTCGGCACCGGCTAGGCCAGGCAAGTTTCACGTCGGAGACCTTTTTTCCATCTCTCCACTTGAGCTGGCCCTCCACCACTACCGCGGAATCCGTCATCTTCAGTCATGATTTCCGACAGCTGCTGCTAGCTTGGCTGAGCTACTGCGGGGTCACTTTCAAAATAGCTTCATTGGGTCACTGCTGCCAATGGAACAGGGAGGGGGGCAAGGAAGGAGAAAGAGAAGGGCGCAGGAAGGAGGCGGATCGGCTGTTCAGCTGACGAGAACTGGCAGTCGAGTCAATGAAATGAACCGCGGTGAGGGTCCGTTCCGGTCCACTTCTGAGCTGGAGGGGGTCCCTCCCTCAACGCTGGACTACAGGGCTGCCCTCAAGAGAGAAGGGGCGAGGGAGAGCAGCTGGAGGTGGGGTTCCTTTTACAAATCGGTCTCTTCTCTGCATCCGATAGGAATGGCAGTGGGAATCGGGCCTTTTCAGGAACAGCCTCTGCCTGCTCACTCCTACTCTTACGAGTTATTCTTAAAGAACAGGTGGTAGCAATCACTGTCTGTGGGAGCAGTTGCTGCCTTTGCTGGGTGTCTCTGAATCCATCTTTCCTGCAATCAACAGCTGACTGTTGATTACCTTCTCCCTTTGCCTCTGGGCAGCACGGGAGGGCTTGCCAGCTCCTACTTAAAAACTTAAGGAGTGGGAAAGACATTACAGTCTTTGTGTTGCTCTTTTGCCCATATCCCGTGATGGGGTGGTCTACATTATCTCTACCTATTTATATATTTATTTAACAAACCAGCCTGAAAAACAGATGAACTGCTCCCTACGTTTTTGGGCAGCCTCATTCCAAGTTTTAGGCTGGCTATGACTCTGGGCAGTAAAGAGGCAAGGACTGACCTAGTGTACTAGCACTTCATTCATTCAGCCCTTTTCTCTCTACGAGTGGCATGGTGGGGATAATTTTGGCTCAATGGGGCCAAAAGCACAAGAGATCTCATAAACCAACAAAAAGAGATGTTGGCAATTCATAGCAGTGGTCTCTGCGTGCTCCCTCATCCTCTCTCTCTGGGTAATTGCAGTGAAGAGGATGCTGGGGATTTAGACCTACCAAAATCATATTGAGAATGACTTTCCTTTACCAGAAGCTGGCTCTCCTTGCAAGGAACTATCAAACTTATAAAAATCCTTTTCCTAAGTTGATTTGTACAGTTCTTTAAATCTTCTTTAACCTTTCAAAGAATCATAGTTGTAATGCAAAGAATATGTTCATCATTGATTGGCATAATTCAAATGGGGAAGGAATTCAAAGCTCCTAATATACCAGAGTAAGAAAGAGATCAAGCAGAGTTTGTTAAAGTTTGCAGCTGACATATTTGAAATTGAAGTGAGAAGCAGTGCAGGGAAACCTGGAATATAATCAACATTTTTTTTGCAAGATGGATTCTTATAAAATTTACATTGTAAATAGCTGGGTTAAGTTTTTTAAATTTTATCAGGTTGAATTTTATTTAAAACTTTTATATGCCGTCCCTTATGCATGGCATCTCTGGATAGCTTACAATAATTAAAACAACAAAACAGCAATAAATAACCAAAAATACAATTAAATAAGTTAAATAAAAGCATCTGTTAAACATTAAAATTTTAAATTAGTTTTTAAAATAACAAATAAAAAGGTTTTAACCTGGCGCCGAAAAGAATATAAACTCGGCGCCCGGCTCACCTCTCCAGGGATAAATAAATGACTATAATGTAAATAGCATGTATAATATGTAGTGTCTAATAACTACTTATTGTTTATTGAATATGGAGTAGAGACATTAGTTTTGAAGGTATAACAGAATGGTAAGAGGCTGAGAATTATAAGTATAAATTTGTAATAAACATTAAAACAAGTAAATAACTGAGCTTCGGCGAACTTTTAAGTAAAGCTACACAGCTTCTCACTCGCAGAGTAAAAACATCCCAATATGCCTCACGGCTTGTGGCTCCAAATGGCTGTAAGAAATGGCATGATGGGAGTTGTAGTTTTAAAAGTATATGGTTTTCTTCTGTGGCGCGCACCGCAGTTTGTGGGATCGGGCGAGGACGGTGATTGACAGTTCTTTTGACCAGTGGCTGATGAGGTTTGGATGAGGCGGGTTGGCAGACCGGCGGGCATCTCCTTGGTAACCGTAGCAGGACAAGAGTTTCCTTCTTCGAAGACGACCAACTTGTGTGGTCTACTAGCCTCACAGTAGGAAGGTGGGGAGCCAAAGAGGTGAGCGGGACCGCCCCGCGGGGCCTCTTTCGGCGGAGGAGCTTGGATGGCCTGGGGAAGGGACGGGTGAAGCAGCGGACGGGGGGAAGAGGGCGGCTATGAATCTATTATTGACAAACTTAAGGCGTTAGTCCTCGGTTTGGGGAGACGAGGTCTTTGGGTTGGACTTCCTATATAGCATGATCTTCATCAGGTTTACATGGAAAGCAGGAAATTTGAGTTCAGTGCCATAGGCCTTTCTTCCTAACCTAAAAGTTGCGGCCCGCCTCCTCTTGCTTTGAACTGGGACGCTCGCGTGTTCGCTTAGGAGGAGGGATCGCAACTTGGTTTGTTAGACAGAGAACTCGGGCTGGGTTGTCCCTGCGACAATCCACTGGCCCAGTTCCACACGCTGCATGTTTCAGCTGGACCTTGCTGTATACCAAGGATGCAGCTGTTTTACCAGGTTTCTTAGCAGCAGCTCCACCCATTTTCCAGGCGTTTCGGGTGGGGCAGGAGCAGTCTTTGTAGCCCTTGGTTGGCAGTCTGCAGGGTTGCTAGTGTTTAGCACAAAGCAAAGCAAGAGGAGTAACCGGGCAGTTTCCACAGAGATAAATATGTGGTGAGTTCCTTCACGGTTCTGTATCGGAACCTGTGCTATTTAACTTTTTCACGAGGGATTTGAAGTTTATTATTTATTGCACTTCTTATACCGCCTCATAGTCCATAGGCTGCCTGGGCAGTTGACAAATTTAAAAGACATACAAACAACCATTAAACTAATCACATTTAAACAAAACAATAAATAACAGAACCAATACAACAAGACCAACAACCCACAACAACTATAATAAATTAGATTCATGGCATTGTTTGGGACTTGGCCACCATATAAACCAGACTCATGTGGGTAGTAAGAGTTCTTAGGGCTGAGCAGTGAAGTAGCCACGTTTGCCCAAATTATGCAAGTGCTTCCAAGGAAGGAATCTTTGTGAAACAGTAATGTGGGACAGCTATTTCCAACAATAAATCGATGCCAATTACCAACACAGGATTAAGCATGCTCACCGTTTCAAAGGTGTAGATGAGAAGTTATCTTATGCCTCATTACTAAAATGTTTTGGCATTTTAACTTGCAGTATTCTTTATTTTTTCTTAAAGAAAGGAAAGTACATGCCATTGTCTTTAAATTTAACGCCAGTAAAAATGTATGTTAGGACATTTAAATCCCATTGAATGGTTTAATTTTTTTCCTTAAAATATTTAAAATACTTGAATATTGGAGCGAAGTTACCATCAAGTATCTTTTTAAAAAGTTTTGCTTACTAAAAAAAGTACATTCAACATGCTATGCTGAATAAATCTCTTAGTATCACAAATTTTTCTGATTCAAATTACCCGATGCAAGTTATGTAAGTTGTTATGCAAGTTAGGTAGTTGCATAGGGTAATTTACATTGGCTGCTCCTGTATGACACAATATATATGCTCAGATGTTGAGGGTAGAAGCCTTTGTGAAATGGTACTGAAGAATGTCTGCAATCTTTTTTTGGGGGGGGGGTGTCAATACATGGTAAAGTGCTTGTGTCTGCACTAATTGTAGCCAAAATATCTAGAAATGAGTAAATAACTGAAGCAATTAGAGAAACAATTTTTGCTTCACTTGCTAGTGGGGGTTAAAATGTCTGAAAATCCAAAAAAGCAATATTGGGCAAAACAGGAGCTTAATTTTAAACAGAAGCTCTTGATCAAACTTCAGGAGTTTTTCAGCAAAAATGTAGTTTATTCTTGTTGCTTTTCTTTTGTAGAAACCAGAGGCCTGAAGGATTCAGAACAGGTGAAAAATTTGGAGGATCAGTAACAGGTGATGCTGGGTCAACATAAGCACATCCATTACCAAAATCAGCCTGTCAGGTACCTACCATTAATGGAATTCTCTGCTCTTACTTTCCTAACAACTTAGCCCCTGAAGGATTTTATATTTTAAATATAATTGTTAATTAATTTTTGCTCTAAAAACAAAAAACTACATTTAAAACCAAAAACATATAAAGTTAAACATACAATTAAAACAGTTCTTTCAATGTAGTGCCCCCTCTCCCCATCACCAGGACCAATGATACATGTTACCAAAACAACAAACATACCTCATTCAAACATTTCAGGACATTCACTCCCTCCCCCCTCCAGAACTGTAATGATTCAAGGGCTCAAATCCTTTCCCCTGTTTAAAAAAATGACTCAGTAAATACACTCCAGATAAGGTTATTTTTCTTTATATGCTGTTTTCTCACTTTAATGTTTATTTTTAATAGCTATATTCCAAAATTCTTTATACCAATCAGAAAATTGGTAATCATAATTTACTTTCCAATTCTTAGCTATAATTAATCTTGCTGCAGGTACTAAATTTGTTGTTATTATCCCAGCTCCATATTTATCAAATACTGAGAGTAATACAATTCCAGGGCATATATCTGTATTTAGACTTAGTATTTTTACTACACTCTTTAAAAACCACTTTCCAAAATTTTATTATATATTCACATTCCCACCGCGTATGAAAGTGTGTATCTACTTTGAATGCTCAGATTCAAAGCAAGTTCCCAGTTCCTTATTTCATGGAAGTTAGAAATCAAACTCAAATAGAAAATTGATCAGAGACCAAAAGTTTGTGCCCCTGAACCTCAAATTAATCTTTCAAATATGATATAGCGCCATGTTTAGGAGAATGCTGCCTTGAAGATAAACAGTAATTCTCTCAAAGCCATCATTTTTTGTCCAATACCTATTAATACATGATGATCACACATTGTAACAAATGGAAAATGGTGCCTGAGGTCCCATAATAATTGCAGTAAGCTTGAGGCCACCCAGGGTAATTTACTCACATCTGTGAAGAGTGCCCTCTACGGGGTATCAATAAATTGGTTCCAGCCTAACACTTTGTTTCCAAGGAGGACATGGTTTAAGCATGGTATTTCCAGGGTCATAATAAAATATGTAGAAAACAATAGTGAACTAGAGATGTGCATGCCAGAAAATGCTTTGGGGAAATAAGATGCTTGCTGAAATGGGGCAGATGGTAAGGTTACCTTCATGAGCTACAATTCCTGGTGGCACAAAGTTTTCTGCAATTTAAGTGTTTTCAGGTTTGAAATAATTATTTTTTCTTCCATCTGCAAAAATGGGGAGCGGTTAATAATCTGTCCTCAGAGACTGATGTCTAATTTCTTGGGTAATGTCAAAGGGAACAATCCTATGGCCATTGCACAGTGTTTATAGCATATGTCAGATTCTCAGCTCAGAAACAGTGCTATGACTTCAGGGATGGGAACTGGTGATCTACTTCTCATTCCTCATTGCAGGCGGTATGGAAATAATTATGCTGTAATTTCTCCAAGATAGGAAAAATGACCTTGGAGAGGAAAAAGGGGATGTTTTGGTGGGCAGGGAGGGGAAGAGATACAAGGTATCCTGCAGCTGCTCCAATCTTACCTGTCCGATCCCATCCTGAGCTCAAGCTAGATGTCTAGCAAAAAATGCCTGGTGAACAGATAGCAAGGCGAAAAATGTGTCTATGCCTCTAATTTTGGGGGTTACAGTCACTGTAATAGGATTACACCTTAAATGCTGCTGTATTGCTATTTTTATGGTTTATCTACATCTCTCCACCACTTTTATTCCTGCAGCAAACCCAATGCAAATTACAGAATCCTCCCCATTCTCTGTCTTGTTCTGACAACAACCCTATGAAGGAGGCTAGGAAGAGAATCCATGACTGGCCCAAAGTCTCCTAGTGAGCTTCATAGCCATGCAAACTACAACCTGGATCTTCCAGCTAGCTCTTATACAGTTTTCTTCCAGTGTTGAGCTCAGAGTAAACTGACTTCCAGGTCCAAAAAAGAAACACCAAATATCTGGTGAAATTTCTGTTTGTAGAGCCTTCCCTCCTTTTTGTTGATAATGTTTTCCAAGTGTGGTATTAATACATATTCAGATATAATGCATTTTGGAAATGTGTTTTAGCTTAGCTCAAAATCAGTTTTTCAGTGCCTCAGTTTCCAGAGAAGTAACGGTATTTTGGCTTGCAATGAGTTAATTTTTTAAAAAAATGTTCATTTCAGTTCAGTACATTTCTATACCACCCGATAAGTGAATGATTCAAAGAAATTAAAACCGTAAAATTTATGACTAAGACATATATAAAAGTTTTAAAATTTAGAAACAAATCAAAATCAGAATTAAAACATATCATTAGAAAAAATTATAAAGTCACAGCAAACATTTAAAAATAAAAATGAAGAACTGAAAAGCCTGGGCACCTGGGTGACTTGCAACAACTATGCAATATTTGGTTTCTTACCTGAGAGCAACATGGCCTACACATGCAACAAGTTCACCCACAAGATAAAAGAAAACAAAGAGTTTTTAGACAGAGTGGTGGAGCTCCAACAGCTAAGTGTAGTTCAGAAGCAAGAAGAGCTTCAAGCAAGGTGAGACAGAAAAAGAGAACCCTGAGGGAAGGGAAAATGAGGAAACTTTCTGGAACAGGTTGACAGATGCAGAAGACCTAGAAAACACTCTGCACCAGTGGATACAGTGGAACTCTTGAACTGCTTACTTGAGGAAGAGATGTGTGAGAAACCCACTGTGAAAGAAGTACACTATGTGACTCTGAACAAGACAAAAGGCTATCAAGAAATGGAAAAAAAATACCAAAGTTTTCAACAACAAAAGAAGAGTGATAGTCATGAGAGACTGCCTGTTGTGTGAGATGGAAAAAACATATATGTCACAGTGACCCAGAAATTCGCCAACTATGATGTCTCCCTGGAACCAAGATTAAACTAATAAGTTCACACAACTCATACAACCCACTGGCAAATACTCTTTCCTTCTCTTCTATATGGGAACTAATGACATTGCCAGGAGAAGCTTTGATGAAACAACATCAGACTATGAAGGTCTAGGGAGGAAAATAAAAAACTCTGGGGCCCAGATAGTCTTTTACTCAATCGTACCAGTATGTGGAAGGGAACTGTTAGGGAAAGAAGAATCCTTCAAGTGAATGACTGACTACGATGGTGGTGCCATAAAGATTGATTTGGATTTCGGGACCACAAGCTAAGCTTCTTGGAAGATGGACTGTCATTTTTTGTAAGCCGTCCAGAGACTTTAGTGTAGGACAGCATATAAAAACTTTAAATAAATAAAAGAAATACTGGCAAATGATGAGCTGCACCTCACAGGGAATGGAAAACGTGTGTGGCAACTAAATGGAAAAAGTTCATCAGGGGGGCTTTAAACTGAAACACACAGGGGAGGGAGATGTGCAGCATGGCATACCATCACCTGGCAAAGACTTACGTATTTCAACACAGAAGAAACCTCAGGCCCAGCACCAATCTCCTCAAAAATGTAGGAAGAAAACCAGGGCATAGCCAGAATGAACTTCGATGTCTCTTCACCAATGTCCAGAGTATAGGAAACAAACAATCTGAACTTGAGCTCATAGTACACGAGGGCAATTATGATCTTATAGGAATAACTGAACCTTGGTGGGATGACTCACATGACTGGAACTCTACAATTGATAGACACAACCTGTTCAAGAAGAATAGAACAGAAAGGCAGCTGGAGTTGCACTATATGAAACAGACACACATATCTACACAGAAATACAAGAAGAGGAACTGAGTAGCCCCACTGAAAGCCTCTGGCTAAATTTAAAGGGAGCAAAAAATAAGAAATACGTAGTTATTGGCATCTGTTACCAACCACCCAGTCAAAAAGAGGACAAGGATGCAACCTTCAAAAAGCAACTTGCTGGCATTTCCAAGAAGGATGCTGTATCATCATGGGGGACTTCACTTTCCGATATATGCTGGGAGGCAATTTTTGCCAAACATGGCCCTTCCAAGAGATTCCCGACGTGTTGTCAGCAACTTCTTCAGCAGAAGGTAGAGGAAAGAACGAGAGGAACAACTATCCTTGATTTAATACTAACAGGGATGACCTGGTGGACAAAATAGCAGCCACAGGAACTCTGGGGAAAAGTGACCATGCAGTACTTGAATTCTCAATTATAAAGCATACAAAGGTTAACTGCAGCCAAACATGTATCATGGATTTCAGGAATGACAGCTTTAACGAAATCAAAAAACAATAAGTACCATGGCAACACACCCTTAAGGGAAAAGGAGTCCAAGGGGGTGGGAAAAAGAAGATTCTCTAAGCATAATTTCAAACAATTATAACAAGAAAAAATTGTAGAAGACAGTACAGGGAGCCAAGTGGCTCCAGAAAAAAAGTGACAGCTTGAAAGAAAAAGAACATGCATAGGAGGTGAAAGCAGGGCCAGGCTACAGAGATAGACATAAACAGCATGTTTATATACAGTATCAGGAAGGCTAAAGCAGGAAATGATCTGAGAGTAGCAAGGGATGCTAAGAACAACAAGAAAGCCTTCTTCAGATACATCCAGAACAAAAGACATGTGAAAGAGGTAAGTGCCTAGCTACATAAAGTGGATGGTGGAGTGATAACAAATGACAAGGAAAAGGCAGAGGCGCTCAATTCCTGCTTCCCCTCAGTCTTCTCCCAAAAGAAAATCTACAAAGAGGAAGTGCATGTTGAAAGTGAGAGATGTCAGCCTAAGATTGACAGATAAATGGTCAACAAATTCCTAGATGGAATAAACACTTTCAAATCTCCAAGACCCAATCAACTCCATCCCAGAGTCATAAAAGAGCTAGTGGAGGAACTCTCAGAACCACTGGTATTATGTTTGATATATCTTCAAAAATTGGAGACAGTGGAAACAGTGCCAGATGACTGGAGCAGTCTATGATTGTCTATCTTCAAAGACAGAAAAAAAAAGATGAACTTGTTAACCTAACATCAATCCTTGGAAAAATTCTGGAGTAGAATATTTAAAAAGTCAGTCTGTAAGCATCTTGAAAGAAATGCAGTGATTAATAAAAGCCAACATAGATTTATCAAAAACAAATCCCATCAAAATAAGTTAATCTCATTTTTTGATTGGGTTCAAACAGAGGGAACACTGTGGATGTAATTGTCCTTGATTTTAGCAAAGCATTTAACATAGTGCTCCACAACTTTATAATAAGCAAATTAGCAGTAAATCTACTAGATAGAAAAACTATTAGGTGGAGCCAAAATTGGCCTCTAAATAGGATACAGAGAGGTATATTAACGGCACCTGATCAAACTGGATGGAGGTAACTAGTGAGGTGCCACAGGGTTCAGTCCTGTGCCCAGTGCTCTTCAACATTTTTATTAATACTTTGGATGAGGAAGCACACAGAAAGGTAATCAAATTTGCAGACGATATAAAATTGGGTGGAATTGCAAACACCCTGGAAGACAGAATGAAGATCCAGAGCGATCTTCATAAACTTGTCCCTATTGTGTTGCTTTCTGCCCAGTGTTCTTCACCTAGGAAAAGGAAACCAGATGCATCAATACAAGATAGGGAATACATCTCAACAGGACTGAAAAAGAAAAAGATATTGGAGTTATTGTGGGCAACAGACTAAATATGCGCCAACAGTTCTCTGGGAGAACTGGGCGAGTGAGAGGAACTGCAGGACTAAGAAGGCAGGGGACCAAGGTAAAGTCTCGGAAGGGATATCGATGACAGACCAGGAGATGGCCTTGGCGGGAGTCACGGGTGTTGCTGTCTGCTGCGAGAGCTGCGACATGTTCGCCCTTCTCCCCCAGGAGAGGCAGGGATAAGTTGCCCTCGGTGCAAGATGGTGACCCTGCTAGAAGAGGAGATGAGGTACCTGAGGACCGAGAGAGCTCTCCAGGCCCCCCCAGAGCAGCAGAGGGTTGAGGGAGAGACCACTGGAGGAGCAGCTGCGGAGACATGGAGGTATGTCACCCACAGGAGTGACACCAATGTCACTCCTATGTGCCAGTGTCACTCCTGTGCCAGTGTCACTCCTATGTCACTCCTGTGTCACTCCTGACATCTCCTGGCACCAATCTGAAGCTGGGAAACAGGTTCTCTCCACTTGGGGAGGCTGGGGCTAATGAGGCCTCAGCAGGATCCCCAGCCTGGGACGTCAGGCGGCAAGGGGACTGCTGCAGGAGAGGCGAGGGCCAGGCCACGGCCACCCACCAGCACTGGGAAGGTACGGTGGTGGGGTTCTCTCACGCCCACTGGCCTCCATTTTTGAGACCTCATGGAGAACGGGTGAAGTTCCAGAGGACTGGAGGGTGACATCATTGGTCCCAATTTTCAAAAAGGGTAGTAGAAAGGACATGGGGAATTATAGACCAGTTAGCCTTATGTCCATTGTAGGAAAAGCAATGGAAAGGCTCATAATAGAGAGAGATCTAGTGATGCTAGATAGGGAAGGGAGGCTGACAGCCGCACAACACGGCTTCCGCAAAAACAGGTCCTGCCAGACAAACCTTGGGGAATTCTATGATAAAGTTTCGAGATGGCTAGATGGAGGGGATGCAGTGGATGTGGTTTACCTGGATTTCAGCAAGGCCTTTGACAAAGTGTCCCATGATATCCTGGTTGAGAAACTGAGGAGTTCTGGGATAGACCAATGCACTGTCCGGTGGATTAGGACATGGTTGACTGACCGAAAGCAGAAGGTAACCATTAGCGGGGAATCATCGGGATGGCGGCCAGTGACAAGCGGGGTCCCCCAGGGCTCCAGGCATCCTAATGTTTTGTACTTCAACTTTTATCAACCTCAGCATGGCCAATGGTCAGGTATTCTTGGATTTTTAATCCAAAGCATTTATCCTTCTATGATGGTGACTGCCTTACATTGTTAGACAAAAGGTGTGTTCACAAATTGCATTTAACATCCATTTATACTTTCCATACATTCAGATGGATGTGAGAATCTGTTTGCATGCACTTAAACCTTCATACACAGATGCTACTATCCTATTTCATCAAAGGTACAGATAAATACGGCAGAATCAGGGTTGAATTAAACCCAGAAATACTTGTGTGAATTGATGGGCCCATAGGAACTGGAGCCTTATATGTATTTCTTCCTTCAAGAATTAGCACATAGGCCCCAGCTCCACTTCTTTTAACCACTACATGGAAAGGAAAAGCAGGGATTGGATCCCTTGTATTCCTTTTCAGATTTTAGAAGGTAGTGTGAAGTCCTGTTCTTTCTGCATTCTATTACCCCCAAATTCCTCAAGGTTCAAAGTAAGTATTAAAGATTTAGATTTTTCTTTTTTAACTAAATGTTGAGATCTAATGCTGAGAACAGGATATTAGAGGGGGAGAAATAGAATCCTTAACCCTTTCCTGTGCCTGCAATTTACATTACAACTGGATATCTTTTGACAAAGTAAGTGAGGACATGGGTGCCTGATCCAGATTGGACCATAACTGGGGAGGGGCAGAGTTTCCTTACACCTTCTGATGACCCACATTATAGTCTTGATCTGTGCAGTAAACTTCTAAGGTTACATTCCATACCTAAAAGGTATACCTAAAGGTATTGCCCACAGAATAAGTAGAATTCCTCTGAAAACACTGGCATACTGGCAAAGTGAAACTGAATGTGCCCAGCGTAACTTTGCCGGCAGTCTCTGCCATAGGTTTTCATGGGGCAAAAAAACTCAATAACCTTTAGATTGCTGTTCAGAATATCAGCCAATCAATGGAAGACATATCTCTTGAACAAACATAAATAAAATACATTACTGGTTTTATTATTTGGTTTTTACCAAAATATGAAAGAAATATACAATATGCTAAGCTGCAGCTTGGAATGAAAAGCATAAATGCTTCAGTTTTCAGCACTCTTTAACTTGTTACACCAGTGGCATTTTATGAGAACTTTTTGTCATTTTGCAGGCTTCAACAGGTACAGGCCAAGTTTTACATTATTAGCTAAATAGATATCATTGTTATAGTGGTAGAATTGTAAGTCTTATAATGGCAGAAACTTTTTTTATCTTTTGCAACTTTCCATTAATGACTACTCCAGAGTTCCTTTAAGAAGGAATGTGAAATGGGTGAGCAATCCAAGCATGACTTACAGTAGTTTGGTTTGAAAATAAGCCAAAGTATTTGCCCCCAGGCTCAGTGAATTCTTTTAAATTTCTAAAAATGGCAATTTCACATAGCTGCCCTACAAATGATAGATGCAACCAGTAATTCTGAAGGAAGGTTCTATGATCCCTAGCAGAAAATGACAGCCCTGTGGCCCAGAAGAAGCCATAGAGGTAGAACTGTCATGTGTAACTCCAGATCTGAGTTGCTTGCTAGTAGCCCAACCTCATGTTACAAAGTACATTCAATAACTTAGGAAGCTTTCCAGTAGGACTTACCTAGGCTACAAAAGTGAGGATGCCCTTTGAAGCTTGACATTGTAGGAGATTTGCTATTCCCCATTATATCACCCTGCAGAGGAGTCCTACATAGCCCAGAAACATCATCCAATGGGTAAACCTGGAATTCTTCCGTGGCTCTGATTTTAATTTCAGATGGGGAAGAATTTGGGGAAAGCATTAAATCTCCCAAAGCTTGTGGTCCTAATTGTGATGAATTTTACCATCTTCTTTATAACAAAGTATTCCACACAGGAAAAATATACTTTGCATAGGAATATCTGGAATGTAACTGAATCTGCTACAGACTTGCTTGGGCTTAAATTCCACTAAGTCCATTGCAGAATAAAGTAGGGTTAGATTTTTTTTCCATGTAAGGGTTTGAGCAATGGATAAATAATCATATGAAACTGTCAACAAATGAATAAGCAAGCATAAAAGGGTGTGAAATTGAAGTCAGCAGTAATTCTGGTCCTTTAGGTAGTAGGCTTGTGGACTGGATCTATATCTGTACCTGATTCATGCAAAAGGCCCAATCATGTCTTCTGGTTACATGTGACCAGGTCAAAATATCTTTTTGAAATTCAAACTATCCATACTTTGGATTAATGCAATGTTTTATTAGATTATTTCGTATTTGAACAGTTTTTTAAATTTTGTCTTCATAAAAGCAATTTTCAGACAGGAGGAACTAGTCTTACTTCTTACTGTTTGAAGTTAACAGTTTCATGGGTTTCCAGCTGAAAGTGCACTGGGCTGTTGCCAGGTACTTGGGGAAGTAGTATTTATGCTATAAATTAATGTACAGTTTGCATTTGGCTCTCCTGGGTTTATAAGAAGTCTAATCTGGGTCAAACTTCACCGTCAAATATCTGGGAATTAAGACTTAAACAGATTGATTTTTTTTTCCTTTAGGATTTCTCACAGGATAAAGACATGAAAATTATCTTTGACATCCCATGAAACATTAACACTGGTTCACTCAGACTTTCTGTACCAGCAAGTGCCAGCATGTACAGACCAGGAGAGAAAGTGAAGCGTCGGATGCGTATGCATGGTTCCAGCATAAGAAGTGTTGAAGTTGCTAGAGGGAGAACTGGATATGGGTTTACTCTTTCTGGTCAAGCTCCCTGTGTTCTTAGTTGTGTTTTAAAAGGAAGTCCTGCTGATTTTGTTGGACTTAAGGCAGGAGATAAAATATTTGCAATAAATGAAACTAATGTGAAAAAAGCATCCCATGAAGATGTGGTAAAATTAATAGGGAAGTGTTCTGGAATTTTACATATGGTTATTGCTGAAAGGCTTGGTCACACAGACTCTTGTTCAAGTGATGAAGAAGTTGGGTTTTATGATGGGAAGGGGTGGCTGAAGCCAAAGCCTGACTCAAAAGGATTAGGTATCAACAGAGCAGAGAAGGTTGTGGAGGAAATGCAGTCTGGTGGAATTTTCAACATGATCTTTGAAAATTCTAACATTTGTCCTGATAATATGCAGACCTCAGTAAGAAAGCAAATTCCAGTTCGTGAAACAGCTGCTGTTAAATTAGAAAGAGGAACTGAACATGCAAACAGTAACCCTAATATTGTCTATAATGAGGAACTGCCAAAAACCTTGAATGAAAACTCAGTTTTTACGATGGGATTGGAAAACCAGGAATATTTTGGATTGGATGCAAGTATTTTAAATGTAGCTATGGTTGTAGGCTACCTAGGATCAATTGAACTTCCTTCTTCAAGTTCAAATTTGGAATATGACAGTTTACAGGCTATTCGTGGATGCATGCGACGTCTTCGCGCAGAACAAAAAATCCATTTATTGGTGGTGATGAAGATTATGCACGACTCTATTCAACTTTGCAGTGATAAAACTGGTGTGATTACAGAGTATCCTGCAGAGAAGCTAGCTTTTAGTGCTATATGCCCTGATGACCGAAGATTCTTTGGGCTAGTTACCATGCAGGCCACTGATGATGCAAGTGTAACTCAGGAAGATGAAGCTGTTTTGAGGACATCTTGTCATGTATTTATGGTAGATCCAGAACTGTTTCATCATAAAATTCACCAAGGCATTGCACGACGTTTTGGATTCGAATGTACAGCTGATCCAGATACCAATGGCTGTTTAGAATTTCCAATGTCATGTCTATCTGTTCTTCAGTTTGTCTCAGTTTTGTACAGGGATATGGGGGAATTAATTGAGGGAGTGCGGGCCAGAGCATTTCCTGATGGAGATGCAGATGTTCATCAGAATAATAGTATGAGTAGTAATAGTGATAGTGGTATTGGAAATTTCAACCAAGAAGAGAAAAACAATAGAGTTTTGGTGGTTGATCTAGGAGCTAACTCAAATAAACATGCCCTTAGTAATATACAAGACAATCCAGTAGACAGAGGACAGGCTGTTTCCCATTGGAATTTTGGACATGAACAGGAAGGAAACGCTGCATTAGAAATCATATTTCAGAATGATAAATCTCAGAATGTAAGTAAGTTCCCAGCATCTTCAGCTCATGTTGAAGTTCCATTAGTTTCTTCCAAAAGCTCAATTACAACATGCAAGAAAAATTCTGGGGACATTTCCCATCAAAGATGGTTGCCTGTTCATGTGTTAAAAGATTGGCAACATGGATGTGTCAGTGACCAGGAGTCGTACACAGATTCTACAGATGGCTGGTCAAGTGTTAACTGTGGAACCCTTCCTCCTCCAATGAGTAAGATTCCTGCTGACAGATACAGAGTTAATGGCAGCTTTGGTCAGCCTCCTCTAATGTCTCAAAAGAATGAATTATCTAAAAAAGGGTTTCAAAAGCAAAACACGTTTGACTGTCAATACAGTGTCAGAAAGGGCAAAGAAGATAAAAAGGTAAGAATGTTTATATAAGTTTGTTAAAAAAAAGTTTTGCAGTTGAATCATTTCATTCTGTTAATGCAATACAATGCTGTTAGGGTTTGTGGGGGATACATACAATGAGCTGCTGTTTTCTTCCTGGCAGCAATTCTTACTACTATAGCAAAATCAGAAAAAAAAATTAGTCACAAATAATACGAATGTTGAATAATAGCATTGGGCTGTGTTTTTAGGATGGAGAATTGAAATGTGAATAGAAAGGAACAGACATTACTAGCATTCATCATGGATGCTGATGAACATTTTTACCCTGCTGTTCTGCCAGGGATCCTGAAGTTTTACTTTGATCAATAATAAGATAGTTCCTACTCTCATGCTTATGATCTGAAAGACATAATACAAATGGAAAAGGGATTAAAGAATTGGAGGTAGAAGAAAAAATACGAATGTACCAGTGCTTCATTTCAAAATGTGTTATTTCTGGCAGGAAATGGTCAAACAAGCTCCCTACAGCTCTTCCTTCTTTTGCCTATGTATGGAGATAGGTGGGTCTCCACCTCACTGGGATGTTTTAGCTGGGAGGTAGTAGGTGCAGTGTCCTAGTGACACTTGGCCCTTTGGCCAATGGAATGGATCTCAAAAGAAGCAAATCTGTTTTTAAAAATAGTTTATATGTCTGTATATTTTCATATTGTCCCTAGTGGTCAAGGTTTTTGGGATATAGATGCCAAAGTCATGTAGTTTATACCCTGCTTATCCAGAAACAAAACCAAATGAGATTAAACCACAGGTTTATGGATTTGGTAATTATATTTGTGTATTTCATGAAGCTTGGCTGGAGACTGAGGCTGAGCAAAGTGTTGGTGCTATACTATATCCCTCCCCCACAAAGTGTGGGCCCCATAATTGGGTCCTGAAATCATCTATATCTTTCTATAGAAGCCAAAATTGTATTCCAAATTTTCTTTTGAAACATCTTTCTAGGTTCCATGCTCTAACATAATGTTTTACAGAGCTCAGTCCCCCTTCCTTATATATTTATATAAATTTTACACTAAAATTACACTATTTACTAAATTTTACAATGTTTAGGGAGCAGAACCTTGGCAGTTTCATTTTCCATTCCTTTCCTAATTATACCTAATATGGAGTTTGCCTTTTTCACAGCAGCCATACACTGAGTCAGTATTTGTATCCAGCTGTTGTTCATAACCCCAAGATCCCTTTCTTTATCAGTAACCACTAGCTCAAATCTTAACTTATAATTGAGATGGGATAAGTTGGGAGTTTTTCCTACATTGTGCATTCCTTAGCACTAACCTGGATATTACAAACATTTTAGCAACTTGCTCTGTAATTGATATTGTCAAAACCCTTGTGTGAAAGAATGACCAAGTATTCTAAGGATTGTCCAGAAAAAGACTAGTATTTGGGGACAGCTAACCTTAGTACATAGAACATCCCATTTTTGAAGTTTGGGTCTGGGAAAGGCAATATCCAAGTGCTGCATGGATCCTGGCTGCTCTGCAAAAGTTTTGATATAAATCTGAATCTCTTGGAACAAATTAGTTAGCTAATACTCCTTGGTTGGGTAAATTCATAAATGCACATAGCATGATACACATGGCTATTTGTCTAAACCAAACCATTTGTTCAGATAATCTATCACATTCCAGGGCATTGCCTTGACCATGTGTCTGTTCTCACAGAAAATGAGAAACCTCTTAGTCAGTCTATAATCTTTCCTTTTACAGTATTTTTCTCCAACAAAGCAATAGCCCATTTGTAACAGCAGGCAACATGTGGCCAATGGGTTGGATGCAGCAACTACCTTTCCCCAATATCTTTTTTAACTAAAAATGTGCATCCTCAGCCAATACTGGGTACAGTAACTATTTATTTCCATTTCTATGCTGCCCCATAACCAAAGGTTCTCTGGGCAGCTTAGGAACAAGGTAACTGTACTACTTTGTGTGTTCTAAAATGCAATGGAGTGGTCTGCTAAATTTCATCAGGAAATCAGCATCTTTCATTTTCAAAATGAAGGGGTACCTATAGAACTGTGTGGTGCCCCTCTGTTTAGCCCCCAAATGCCCCCTGAACCTCATACAGTTGGACCCCAATTTATAGGCTTCTGTTCTGGTTAACATCCTTTTAATGTGATATTTATTTCTTTATTTAAATATTCTGTGCTGTTCTTTACCAGAATTTCTAAAGTACTTTAAATATACACAGGCCATGTTTTTATTACTGGATCTGTTTGCAAGAAATATGCCGAACTATTGCACTTTGAGGCCTTCTATATTATAAAGCTTCTATTTAGCCTTTGGCTATGGAGTGGCATAAAAATGTGATAAATAAATAAAACTGGTTTAAACAACTTGGGCAGAGCATTGTATGACTTTGAACAGGCTGCCATGAACAAACTTGGAACAAACTTAGAACATGATATGTGCTCAGAACTTCTGCCTACCTGTACTTTTGCCCCAATAACTTAATGACCTACATAGTAAGGTTTTAGATCACAACTGAATGATTAAAATGTATGTAGTTATACATTTTTAAAGCTGTTAATAAAGCTGTTGCTTTTTATTTATCCAACTTCTTATATGTAGTTTTATGTGCAAATATCTGAGATTGACTTACTTGCAATTAAGGGATCAGCCCCACTATGCCTGCTTTCTCAGCTAAGAGTGCTCTCACCTTTTCTTCTAACAGGACCACTTAGTCTGCACTTGTTGCATGTGTAGACCATGTTGCCCTGAGGTAAGAAAACAAGTATGCACAGTTATTGCAGGTCACCAGCACTGTGGAGTCTTCTTTGCCTATTGTTTGTGCTACTTTATGAATCTTGCTTGTTGGGCTGTTGTAACATCCAGTCCTTTCTCCTTTCTTCACTAAATGTTAACAAACCAGTCCTAACAGTAAATCAAGTGCCACCGCCAGCTTGTGTTTGCTCTCCCTGTTCACTCGCTCCTTGCTTGTATCCCGGAGGCCCTAGATCAGATGGGGCAGCTACCTCTGATCTGCTTAGCTAGGGGTTATGAACCAGAATGATTCCCAGAAAGACCAAAACTTGTTCTTCGTCGTCTGTCCAAACTTGTTGTTAACAGGATTGCAGTGTAAACTTAGAAGGGTAGAAAAGGACAGGAAGGGAAAGGGGGGGGGTGCAATGTTATATATCAGGGAAGAGAGGATGCAATGAAATAGAGGGTTTTGTAGATGTGGATCTGGTAGAGGAAGTCTGGGTAAAACTAAAGGGCCTTGACAGAAGGAGGGACCTGACAGTGGGGGTATGCTATCGCCCACCGAATCCAACTTGAGACCCTGGACAATGCCCTGACAGACGAGATTCAAAGGCTATCTTGGGGGAATGACATGGTAATTACGGGAAATTTCAGTCTCCCAGGGGGAGACTCACTCGGCAGTGATGGCCAGGTCATGTTGCTTCCTAGATGATATTGAGGGAGGGTTTTTCATGCAGAGGGTCCAGAAGGCGTTGAGTGGGAGAAATATTCTTCATTTGGTTTTGACCAACGGTGGGGCTGATAGATGAGGTGCAGATTAGGGGAGCTCTGGATGCGAGTAATCACTCCATCCTTTGCTTTGAGATCAGGGGAATCGGGATGAGAGGCAGGTTGAGTACTAGAAGCTGGGAATTCATGAGGGCTGATTCTGATCAATTGAAGGCCAGACTGGAGAAAGTGTCCTGGGAGATGATACTGGAAGGCAAGGGAGTTCAGGAGGGGTGGATGGTGCTAAAAAAGGGAGGTCTTGGAGGTGCAAGCCTTGACAATGCCACTAGTTAGCAAGGTGGGGAGCCCAAGGAGAGCACCGCTGTGGTGGTAAGAGGAATTAGACGTAAGAGGAAAATCCATAGGAAATGGGCACTGGGGCAAGTAGACAAAAGGTATATTGAGGGAGGAGACTTGTTGCAGAAGAATTCTTCTCAAGGCTAATGCTGATTATTAGCTGAGACTTGCAAAGAATATCAAGAGCAGCAAAAAGGGCTTCTGTTGATATGCATATAGCAAGAGGGAGACAGGTGGTGGGACTGCTTAATAAGGAGGAAGGGGATTTGGTGACTGATGTGACGGAACAAGCACAGATGCTAAATAAGTATTTTGCCTCTGTTCTCTCCAAAGCAGGTTAGGGAAGATCTACATGGGGTAGGGGTGGGGGATGAGGTTGGAGATTTAGGGGCACAGATTAGAGTCACCCCCCCTAGAAGTCAAGGAGCTCCTAAGGGCACTGGATGTTATATAGGCGGTGGATCCTGATGGATTACACCTGAGGGTGCTTAGGGAGTTGGTGGGGGTACTCTCTTGCCTCTTTGCCTCCATTTTTGAGAACTTGTAGAGAATGGGTGAGGTTATAGAGGACAAGAGGGTGGTATCAGTGGTCCCCATCTTCAAATGGGAGTAGAGGAGTGATGGGGAATTACAAGCCGTTTACCCATACATCCATTCTGGGAAAGACAATGGAAAGGCTCATAATAGGGAGAGGTCTAGTAACCCTAGATACAGAAGAGAGGTTGGCGGCCACACAACATGGCTTCCACAAAAACAGGTCCACCCAAATGAATCTTGTGTAAATCTGTGACAAGGTTTCAAGGTGGCAGGACGGAGTGGGCGCAGTGGATGTGGTTTATTTGGATTTCAGTAATGCCTTCGATAAAGTGCCACATGGCATCCTGGTTGAGAAATTGATGGGGTTTAGGATAGACCAGTGCATTGTCTGATGGAGTAGGGCATGGTTGACGGACCAAAAGCAGGGGGTAACTATTGGGGAATCATTGGGATGGCGGCCAGTGATGAGCAGGCTCTCCAGGGCTCTGTCCTGGGACCGATCATGCTCAGTGAGCTGGAAGAGGGGGTGACTAGTCTGCTTGTCAGATTTGCAGAAGATTCTTAAATGGGCATGGTGGCCAGAACTGAGGGATTCAAGAGTTGTTTCAGGTTGCTGATGCTTCTGCCAGTAGTATGGTATCATCTGCATATCTTAAATTACTGCTG